TGGGTTCCCATGGTTTCTCCAGCTCGCGCATTATGTTTCAGAGAAGAGTGGAACTGAAGAAGATGTTCAGGACAGTGGCTGCAGGTGTGGCCCAGTTCCATCGCACATCTTGCGCTGCATTTGGATTTGCTGCTTTGAAGTAAGGCTGCAAAAAGCACGTCTGCTATCTGCAGTTTGGGTCGAGACCAAAGACGTTAAACAGGCTCACCTCTGATGCACATGAGGCTCGCCGCCCTCCTGTGGTAATGCTCTTGATAAGTTTGCTGCGGCTAAATGCTGGCACGCTGATGCGAGGATTTTGCGGCATCTACTGGTAGATGTTAATCTCAGCTTGTAGCTTCAACTGTTTCGATTGCTTGCTGTACGTGGGCTGTTTTTGCACTGGGAAGCTCCACTTGCAGGAGCTCTTTTTTCCTACAGAATCGTAGGAAGCCTCGAAGGGCCTCCCCTGTGCGGGAAAGATCTTGTACGAACAAGAACAGAAGCACTTGTCTTGAAACGGCAGCCGATGGCAAGTTTGGCACATTTTCCAAAAGTATCTCACATTTCACAGCATGTTGGCTTTCTTGGACGTTGATCCAAACAGCATGCGGAAGGAATTTTGTTTTTCCGTGCAGTTTTCCAGCTGAAACGGGTTCCAAAAAGCAGCTCTAGTCCGGGCACCGAAACGGGGCTCCCGATTTTGGCTTTCTTCGTTGGACATACAAGCTCACGCAATTCGGGGCCCCAGATTAGAGCTCAGATTTGGGAGCCATTTCTGGGGCCCAGTTATGCCGTTTTTTCGTCGAGCAGATGCCACATCTGCGTGCACAGCTGGCCGTCGCGTGCAACAGTATATACACCTCGCCAGCTCTGTTTTGCATTTTGCCGGTGTTCCTTCAAAACTCAAAATAACAAGTGGAACGCTCGCAAACATGTTAACCTTGCAAACAGAACTTTCTCACACAGTAAGTGGTGACGGACCTCGTGCGGCACGTCGCTTCACCTCTCAAGGAGTCTCCAGGTGATGCCGCGGCAACCGACGACATACGTCGTTGAGGTTCATTCATTCTCTTTGCTGCTCTCGTTCTGGCACGACGACCGCCAGAGTCTTGTTTGCGACGGAGTGCACTTTCGCGATGGCTGCCTTTGGCCGCTGCTTACCCTTGTGGGGAGTGGAGGGGGGGGCCTTGGCTGCGCTTTCCGGTTGTTGTGGCGCAATTTCGTCGTCTGGTGTGACGGACTCCCAAAAGCTGGTCGGGTCGTCTCTAACCGACAATGCTTTCTTGTTGGAGCCGCTGTAACCGACGACATACGTCGTTGAGGTTCTTCTCTCTCCTTGTTACTCCTGGGTGGACGCTCTACTTGGGCAACCCACTCTTGGGACCTCAAGACGTTCCTCCGCTTGCGCTGCTCTGGGTTTCGACACACAACAAGTTTTTCCCACGGTCTCATCCTGCCCGGCAGCGTGCTGTGGCAGCGATAGGTGGCCGTCGGTCCTTGCATCCAAGACGCCATTGTTTGCACACCGAGGATCCTTCGGTTTCGCCCTTCGGTGTGCGTTCGCATCTGGCCGGCTTTGAGTTGCATGACACTGGCCACCGCATCAGGTCTGGAAGCCGCTCACCGAAGGGGGCATTGGACTTTTGGATTTTGGTGTGCACGATCGTGACGGAACAAGACACAGGGGCTGTCCGTTGTCTGGCGAGACTAGAACGGCTGCCGGAGCTTGGTCTTGGCTCCACCTGTTGTTTTGGGCGGCACAGAGCGACGGCTCTTTGTTGCTCCGGACCGGTCGCTGAGGCTCCGTAGTTAGCGCTGAACGGCCAACACAGGTTAAACCCGTGCGCCGCAGCCCATTCGTAGAGCTTCTTCTGTTTCACCGCTTTGTTGTAGTTTGTTTGTTATTTGTCTGTTAGTTTGTAGGGACCGAGTGCTACAGCCGTAGTCGACGAGGCCCAGTCAAGCCAAAAAAAAAAGGTTTTGCTTGGGCTCGTTGTGGTTTTGTTCTTTTTCGGAAGGCGGGGTGTTAAACATTTCCCGTCTGACAGCACAGCTGCGTTGAAGGATAAGTATCCGCTTGCTTTAAGAGTGTAGGAACAGCAGTGAAGCCCGCTCTTTACATTATCAGCCTAGAGCTTGTCCTTCCTCCTGCCTCAAGGGTTCATCCGTGTGGCCTTAGCACCAGGCCCGGCACTCGCACAAGCAGGGTTTTTACAGCCGCAACGAGCCTGCCTCAGGTTCCGCTGTCTTGCCTTGCTTTGGCCTGTCTGATCTTGATTTCCCCTTACGAACTTTTCCACACTGAGTTCACAAGTGCACACCAAAAAGGAGAGAAGTTCGCGCGGCCCGAGGCGGTCTCGCATGCACCGAATTGGGGCCTGGTTTCAGGCCATTCTGAGAACCTCCAGTCTGGTTCCTTTTGACAGACACATCCAACCGACAGCTGCCACTCCCTGCCAGCTGAAACTGGCCTGGTCGGGCCTTCCAGCGGCCGAGCAGAGCATCACAGTCCTCGCGTAGTTCTACGCATGCCCTTCGCAAGCTATGGCCCAATTTGTCCGCATATCAGCTGCTGGCCAAGAATCCTGGTCATGACGGCCTCACAGGTGAGTCAGGTGAGCATGCAGGCAGCTGGGTGCCTCGCCATGCCAAAAGATTTGCGATCCGCAGCTCGAAGGTGCTCTGCTAAAGCTCGCGCGTGAGGAATGATTTGTGAGGTTCCCAGTTGGATTGTTGGAAGCACTTGAGCTTGTTTTGGAAAGTTTTGCGCAGCCTTGATTTGCATGTCATGTGAGTACGATTTGTTTTGGCATGGTGAGAGCTTGAAACGAAACCATTTCGCATGTTTGCGAAACCTTGTTTTGTCGGTCAGTTGGTCGGTCGGTCGGTTCGGTCGGTCGGTTCGCCTGTCGGTCGTCCCGCCCGGACCTCAGAGTGAGCTTGGAGTGTTTGTGAAGTGTTTGCTTTCGCCAGAGCCACAGCGGGATGCCTAAGAGGCATCTGGAGCCAGTTCTAATGTTTAGAGAGCTGAAGCCCAAGTTCGCTGTTGGTGCTCACGAGCTGTGAAGTTTTTCAAGTCCAGAGAGCTGTGTACTGAAGCCTCAAGCCGTGCCGGGCTTGGCTCAAGACTCGGACTGCTGAAGAACAGCAAAGTGAAAAGTGTGGAGCGTGCCCGCTCTGTCTGAGTGCTGTGTGCGAGAGGCCCAGAGGGCCCAGAGGTTCCCGAGGGGTCCCTCGGGAACTAACGGGCCCGGTCAGTGTCCTGGTTCCGAAGCGCCAAATCGTAGCCTCCGGGCGAGAGCGCGTCCCGGACGGGGGTTGTTGTGGCGCCTCGCAGCCTTGGCCGGCGCCGATTGCAGGGTGGCCGCGACCACCAGCTCGTGGAGGTCGCGCACTTCAAACAGTGACGTAAGGGCTGCGTCGCAGTCCGCCAATAGGATGTGTTTGCCCGGGAGCAGTGTCGTCAGAAGCCAAAGCGCGTAGATCTTGCCCCACCATATCGGGCAATCGGTAAGGGATGTATCTGCAGAGATGGGCAAAAAGAGTATGGCATGCTTTTCCTCGTGCCTTCCCATCCATCGGCTGCGGTTGAGGATGTGCGGCAGGGTGTGTCTCGTCCACCTGCGCCAACAACAAAGAGAGATGCGTGTTGAAAGTGAGCGGTTGGAAGCCGTACGTCGACTGGTGGTCTCTATCCAGATTGGCCAGCGCACGCCGGCGCACTCGCTGCGGGCCTCAGGTTGAGAAAACTGCAAGAACCGCAGGAAATTTGGAAACGCAGTGACAACAGGAAGCCACTGAACCAAAGAAGCGTTGGAAAGAGTTTTTCAGCCAAAAGACTGCAAGCTTTGACGGTAGCGGAAACAGTATTACAATGTTTTGAAAGATGGTCTGATGGCAATTTGCGCTGACAGTAACCAGACGCTCGTGCAGACACACATTCGTGTGGTTCTCTCCACAGTCTGTGGCACTGAAAAGCAGCCAAGCATTTGGATTGCAGACCAATGGTTGATTTATGTGACCTTCCAAGGTTTCCAGTTCTTTCCAAGCACTTGAACTTGTTTTGGAAAGTTCTGCACCGAACTCCAGGTTCGAACTTCCAGTTTTGGAACTCTTAAGCGGCCATGTAGGCTTTAAACACTGCTGGAAACACAAACCTGTCCAAGAGAACTTAAGACAGCAATTAAACAGCATCACAGCATCAGAAGCCATGTCTGCCAACACGGTTCTGGCTTTGGAATTTGTTTCGACGGTTGTTAGCCGCCGTTCTACTTCGTTGCAGATTTGAGGGGTTTGAGTTGTCCACACCTGTCAGTGTATTGTCTACGGTGTTGTTTGCAATGGAATTTGGTCCGTCCGTTCTGTACGCAAGCTGTCATGAGCCCCGCTTTTTCCTTCAGATGATGCCTTGCTTTTGCAACTGCTCCGTCATACTCTTCGAGCCAACCAACAAAAAAGTGTATCCATGATGCTGAAACTATTTAACGTGCCGTCTCGCCTCGAGATAGCGTCTTATTCTTGACCGCTTAACATTCAAAATATGTTTTTGAATTGTGCCGCACTTCGAAAAACTTCGGGCCCCACATGCTGTTTGATCTGATGGCGCTTGGCATATGCAGATTGGCTCTCAGGTGTGAGAGGAAACTTTTTCTTGAGGTCCCTCTAAAGGCCCGTACTGCGTCTAACAGGTTCCGGGTGCTATCAAAAGGCTGCTCCATACAACCCCGTGCACGCCGGCTTGTGGCCGGCAGATGGATAGCGCCTCCATTGGAGGGCCTCTTCTGCTGCTTGTCGCAGCTCAGCCTGAGCTTTGGCATTGCATCGTCTCGTGCTTGCGGACACATCGTGCTCGCTGCCTGCGAGCTGCTTGCATTTTGCTTCGGAGGCAACACGTGTTGCTTTGGATCTGCCCTGCAGGTTTTAGCGACTCCTCGGATTACTCTCTTGAGGATTGAGCGTGTCGGCAAGAAGGACAATAGGGGAGAGTTGTGGTTGTCATTTTGCAGTAACTTCTCCCGATGAGAAGCGACCTACCTGACTCGCCCGACTGGGGCGACAGTGATGCTGAGCTTGATGCTGAGCTTGCAGGTGAGCAGGGCTTTGTCTGGCCGGGGGACGACTGTCCCGAGCCTCCCGACCGCGGGGACGGCGAGTCCGACGGTGAGGCTGCAAGCTCCTTGAGCATGGTGGGCGCAGGGATTGGCTCTTCGGGCTATTCGGGGGTTTCGGCTTTGGGCTCTTCGAGGGATCTTGACTCCGTTGACGTTGATGCAGACGGCCAGAGTGGTACATGCACTACGAACATGGGGCTTGCCTTTGTGCACGCCTTCAGCAGGTTGTCGCAACCCAGCGCCTCGCCTTCTTTGCTGTTGCCTTGGGAGACTCCCTTAATGAAGACCATTTTTGAGCCTTTGTCCGAGCCCCTGCCTGAGCTTAAGAAACCCTCTTTAGGCCTCGCCGACTTGTCCCCTCCCGAGTTTGCGAAGTATCTGCCCGATGCAAGTAGCAGTGCAAGTGCCGCGAAGCCTGTACATCCTAGCCTCGACTTCAAGGCAGGCCACGCCGCCGAACAGGCCATCAGAATGCTTGACGACGATGACTTCGAGAAGAAGCAGATTAAGCTTATGAACGCTTGTATCGCAAAGTGGCATGTCATTGCTTTGAGGTATTCGGACGTATTTGAATTGCCTCGGCCTTCGGACGAGGAGATCTCGGCAATGATGGGCACTCGGTCAGTACATACTGTGCTTGCCAGGGCAGGGTCCATGCTCCAGTTCGTCAGGTGGTGTGACACGGTGCGTGGTAGCAGTGATTCCATGTTCACTGATGAAGCCTACTGGGGCTATCTGCAGTTCCTCAAGACGAGTCGTGCAAGTGCTTCGAGAGGATCATCTTTCCTCTCTGCAGTGAGGTTTGCTTGGCATGTCATGGATCTCACAAAAATCTGCGGCTCGCCGTCACGGCGATGTGTGGGCCTTGCAGAACAAATGTCTGCTGAAAGAGGCACGCTGCGCCAGTCGGCGCCTTTGTTAGTGCAACAGGTGCTGCAGCTGCACCACATGCTGCGTAGTGGCCTTGTGTCCAAGCTTGATAAGGCTTTTGTTGCATACATCTTGATTTGCTTGTATGCCCGTTGCAGACAGAGCGACCTGGCAAAAGTATCCTACGTTGAAGTGGATATCTCAGATTCAGGACTTGAGGGATACGTCATCTTTTACACGCGTCAGCACAAAACTGCGCGAGCTGCTCGAAGGTTGTCGCAAATGCTGCCCATCCTTATGCCAGTCTGTGGCATCGACGATCAAGAGTGGTTCTTGACAGCGCGGCGTGCCATGGAGGACATAGGCCTTAGTCTGGAGGGAAACATTGGTGGACCTGTGTTTCGGCCTCCGATTGATTTTGTCGAGGGTAGGCTGGCCCGGCGGGGAATCACATCAGAGGAAGTTTCTGCCTTCTTGAAGTTAGTTGTGCCGAGCCATGACGGGGTCTCTCGCATTGCATCCCAGAGTCTCAAACGCACAATGCTCGCTTGGTCGAGCAAGGCCGGCTTGTCTAGTGAGTCTAGGGCCATTCTTGGCAGGCATGCAAAATCCGTTGAGAGCTCTGAGGCCATTTGCAGTGTTGAGCTCGGGCTTCCAGCTGTGAAGCAGCTGGAAGGCATCTTGAGGCAGGTGCGGGACAAAGAATTTAGGCCGGATGCGAGCCGTGCTGATATGTGGCGGTTCCCACCATCGCCGCCAGCAGCCGTTGCTGGAGCCAAAGTGTCGTGTCAAGTCTGAGTCGGAGGCCAGTGATTCGGAGTCCTCAAGTTCGGAAGAGTCCAGCGGAGGCCATTCTGATAGCGGCAGCCCTCCTGCACCCAAGAGGCGTCCTCAGGCCGAGTCTCAAAGACTCATCCCTTCGGAAAAGGGTGGAGAGTGGGTCGTGCACAAGCGGTCGCATGTGTGGCATTGGACGTATGGTGTCAACATGTTGATGTGTGGCCGAAAGCGAAGTCACATGTACGTTCTCTCTGATAAGGGAGAGCCATCCGGGCCGGTATGCAGTACGTGTTCTTGAACCCCAGTGGCAATGTCCACAATATGGACTTGTGACAAGGGTCACTGCTGAGGAAGAAAGTTGCTTGGGCTGCGCGTGCTTGCGTCTGTAGGTGTGTTTCTCTCTTGTGTGCTGAGCTTGCAGTTTCTGACATGTGTCAAGGAAGACAGTGATTTGAGTCACATGGTGACGGACAGAGCAAGGGCTCAAGACCAAGGGGTCAGAGGCAAGGCCTCAAACAATTCTCCATGGTGGGATTGTACAAGTAGCTGAATGCTTCATGTCATGATGTATGCACTCAACAACATTTCTGGAGCCATTCGTCTAGTTGCTGTAGTGTGACTAGATTCGAAGTGTCATGACTTCCCTCCTCGAGAGTGAAGCCCACCTGGACAAGCGTGCTGCCGAGGTGAAGTTCTCTGAAGTGGCCTTCAAGAGTCTCAAATCCCAGGGGTTCGTGACCCTTGGACAGCTGGCGTATAGTGTCGGGCAGCCTGGTCAGATCATCCCAGACGAGGCGTTCAATCAATTCGTAAAGGACACCATCCCCCGCGCATCGGGGGCCGACTCAGCTTGTCTCCGTCGCCTCATTTTTGAGGCTCAGACTTTAGTGCTTGCTGATTTGCCACAGCAGATTAACGACCCTGATGGATCAGCAAAGAAGGTTCCGGAGGCTGAGCGCGAACAGCGCTTAGCTTCATTGCGGAAGCAATTACCTGGGCTTCTCATTGAGGGGCCAACGGAACCAGGGCGGGCCCTTCTAGATGAGTGTGCGAGCCAAGAAAGTGCGTGCCAGCTTAAGTACATCAGCCCAGACCGCTGCATCTCTAGGACCTTTGAAGTCACGAATTACAAGAAGACTCCGAGGCAGCTTGAGTTAGATGCCAATCATCTTGTGGTAAAGAATCAGGAGGATGAGCTCACCATGCCCTCACACTCCGCGCTTCAGGTGCAGGAGGCCTTCCTTCGGCGAGGCATTGCATATGTCTTTAGCCAGAGTGTGTCCTTTGATGCATATTCGAGGTACCTCTCGAAATTGTTCTCGCATATCCATCGCGAGCCGCCCCCGAACCATGCAAGAACCTCTGTCGCACAGCTTGTCGAGGCCGAGAAGCTGGTCTGGACCAGGCTCATCGAGAGAGGTGTGAAGCCACGAAAGGATGCCACCGGGGCCTTCCCCTTGGACTCAGAGCTTATGCAAGCCTTGGAGAGCTATGAAGTGTCCTTCGGACTTATGCCGCTACGAAGTGGGTCCAAATGGGAGCCTGCAACTTCCTTCTCGAAACCTTCTTCTTCAACTGTTCTCTTTTTGTTTGTTTAACTTTGACCCAAAAATAGAGGTAGATCCAAGTGACCATGCCAAACGGGGTCCCAAGTAGAAGTAGAACTGGGCGACACGTGCGCACGACGTAGCTCACGACGGGCTCAAGGCTTCTTCCTGCTTTCGCAAGGTACTCTTGAAACTCCAAAACCAACTCGAACACAAGGTTCTTGTAGTAGTTCACGTGGGGCACTTCTTCGTTCTTTAGGTTCTCGTTATACTCCGCGACATCACCATCATGAAAACTGTAGTTGCAACTTTGTTCTTTTTCTTCTGTTCTTGTAGAACTCGGAGTACACGTTCGTCTTCTTGAGGTAGCTCGTGACGTTGATCTCGTTCTCGTTCTCGGTTTGGTATTGGGCTCATGTAGATGCGACCACAACGTGAAAAGTTCTGTGTGATCACCTTCTTGGCTCATCCCGGCAGGTACAACATCCGCTGGGGTAATCTCCTTTATCACATGCTTCTTCTTAGGGTTCTTGTTGTCGAGGGTGAGGACCTTGTTCTTGTAGTTCAGCATGCGGTTCGTGGCCAACGGGTAGCCGTAGGTCTCGTTCACTTCAAACACCATGAACCATGACATGCCCATGAGAACCACAACCATGAAGACTTTTAGCCAAAGGTACTTTCCTGCTGCTTCCAAAAAGGTTCTCTTGTACTCGAAGGTGCGTTGTTCTCGGGATCGAAGTCCGTTGGGGCAGCAGTACTTGCATGGTAGTACTCGGTGTACACTGGTTGCGTTCCTGAGGCCATGACATCTTCCTGAAACGTGGGTCTTCTCTCCGTAAGGGGAGTACCAGAGTTCTGGTAGCTCTTCCTCAGCTGGAGCTATGCGCTCCACCGTCTCCTTTCTCACAAGTTCTTTCGCAAAGCTTCTTGCCAGACACATCAGCGAAAAAGCCAAAGCCAAGGAAACCATGGCGACAGCTACCTGTTGTTCCTGTGATAGCTTCATCGCTCCCAAGAGGTCTGAATCAGGGAGCTCCGCTACCATGTTGAAACTAAAGGCTTCTCAAGCCTTCCTTCCCACTCTACTCGCAAACACACTTTTCTCACTTCGCGGGCTGACTTGCTTAAGCCTCCGTGTCGCGGTTCACACACATGTTTCATGTGTTCTTGTGATTACTCTACACACTCTACTTGGGACTACGTGCACTAGGTTACAAACGAACACAACGTCACCTCTGCTCGTTACCGCCTGCACTGGTTGAAGCAGAAGAAGAAGCAGTGCGCGTCTGAGGGTACCAAGCATGGATGGACGAGAGGGGCCAGTGTTGGTCTTCCCTGTTTCGTTTGCGGGGATCCTTTGAATCAACCCGATGCTACCACTCCCTTGACTGTCAGGATGCGGTGCTGGTGTGCCCGCTTTCTTAGTAGCCCGGTGTTTGGTCGCGCCGCCCACCATCTTCCCACCGCGGGAAGAACACGAATTTTTACCGTGATGTGGTTTCCCCTCTGTGGGGGGCCCAGAGGGAACCCTCACCTCCCTCTCCCCTTTTTGCTTGCCCTGTTTCGGCCGGACCTTGGTGGGAGAGTCGCCGGACTTGGGACCGACGCGGCTCAGGATTGCTCGTATGTGCCAGTGTTTTTGGGGAATTGGGGTCGTCGTTTGTAGTTTCCTCTACACTGTCTGGTAGTGCGCCAAGGGGTTTTAAAGCAATGCCACAGATGCCTAAGTAGTGATCGCAGGAAGCAGAGGCACAGCAACAGACCCGCTAGGTGGTGTGCATCTGACCATGTGCATGTACACTCGGCCTTCGGTCCTCTGCCTCCTCCGGATGATGTCGGTTGATATACCTGTCGAAGACAGGATGAGTCGGACTTGCAGTTGTCGAGGGTCAAGTGACAACCGTAGTGGCTCTCTTGACAGGCTTTCGAACTCAGCACTTGCTGTTTTGGCAGCTGCTCACAGATGCACTCTCGGCAGTATCTGAAGCAACCTGCACAGCGTAAGCCCGCTCGGACCAGCATTTTCGCCGCCGCGAAGGGGCGATTACGAACAATCGGCGCCCCCACCTGGGGGCCCGGGTGCAAGTTGAGACCTATGTCATCCTCCAGACGGAAGTCAGTGTGGAGTTCCATGGGAAGTTCGTCGGTAATGGGTGCGGGCCGGCCTGACTACCTTCAGATTGGCCTCTGGTCTCTGGGATGACTCTGCTGGAGGGCAAGTGCGTTCTTGATGAGCTGGAGGTGCCACGTTCCGCCTGATCAGGGCTACCTGCAGACTGTTCGGTGAAGTCGGGCCGGTGGGTCGGCTTCCGTTTCCTTTTGCGGTTGGCATTATCTGGACTGGGTTGAGCTGCCTCCGGTGGCCGGTTCGTCGGCATCAGCTGCCAATGTTCAGAACAGCTGTCAAGGGGTTGCTCTGGTGGGGACCTCTTTACCATCGCCATGACCTGTGCACTGGGGTGCCTGGAAAGACTGGCTGATATGGCGGGTCCGGCTGCACGTCCGGAGTCACCTCCGGTGGAGTGGTCCTTTCCAGGAGGTCGTCGCTATCACATCTACATCCGGAAATTCATTGTCCAGTGTCTCCCAGAATTCCGAGTCCGAGGAGATGCTGTGCAAGGGCAACCAAATGGCAGACTTGAGTTGACATGAACGAAACCAAGGCATTAGCAACCCTGCCTGACTGCTGAGCTGGTGGATCTGTCCATCTGCCAAGTCCTGCCAGGGTAGGCATGACTGTAACTATGTAAGGGGATATCTCGTGACACGGGGTGAGAGAGAGTGGAAGCATGTAGGCACGCACTTGCGTAGACTTCGAGCTGTCCGGGGCCCTGTCGGCCTGCCTGTCCTAGCTGTGGCCGTAGGTAGGCCTGTAGCACCACTGATGGGAGTAGGGGAGTCCTCCGTGGACTCGACCCTTTCTCCGCTTTCGCGAATTGTCACCGCCTGGATGAATTTCGGGGCTACGTTGTCCGATGTCAGGTAGTACCCGCACTTTCCGTGGCCGAACTCGGCTTCACGTGCACTACAATGTCGGTACGTGTTGGAAAGTACCTTTCGCTGCTCCTTTCATCGGGCATCAGGTGAAGCTGCTGTCGCCAGGAGCTCGCTCCACCCCCCGGGAGGATTCCCTCCTGAAAGATCTTCTTGTAGAACTCATAGTGTGTTGCGTGAACGAGAGCGGGGACCTCATGGGGGTCTACCCGAGCATGTACTGCCTCCGGGTCCACTTGACGACTGTGGCCCTGCACTGCTCCAACCACGATGTAGGAGTGCTCTTGTTTTTTGGCCCATAGAAGCCTGAACCTTTGCTTCTGGTTCCAGTAGATCACAGCCAGGAGTTCCTCCTTGGTGGTGTGGATCTTGCTGAATATGTGCAGTTTCAGGACTGTGTCCAGGGGCACCGTGGCATTCCGAAAGAAGGCAAGCCCAAATTCCCCTTTATCGTGTCGGAGGACTTTGCTAAGCCTTTTCGACACGGTCCCATCGCGTTTGTGCGAGAGTCTCGTTGGAGAGAATTGGAAGGAGTACGAAATGAAGGTGGGGGCCTGATCAAGGCTCCCCTCTGGCTCTGTAGTCAGCGTGGTGTGTGCACTTGATTGTGCTGAACCCATCTGGGGGGCCGGTGTTTCTGGCACTACCTCGTAGACCCCTAGGGCTTCCAGACTCTTCGGGTCCTTCTCTTCTTTGGTTTCCTCAGTGAGGGGGCAGTCTGATGCCTCTTCCTCTTTTTCCTCGTACTGCTCATCCTCAGCTTCTTCTTCATAATCCTCGTCGTAGTAGTCGTCTTCCTCATAGTAGTAGTCATCGTCCTGGTCAGGGGCCGATTGCGGCGTCTCCTTTTCTTGGTGCGAGGAGGAGGAAGGGGCCGAATAGTGATTCTTGCCACCCGGGTAGAAGTGCAGCAGGAGTCGGTCCACTTGTGGTTCGGTGATCTTCCAGCTCATAAGGTCGTGCATTTGGCTGGGGATGTCCGTCAGGAGATCAACCCAAACCTGCATTGACTCCGCAATCCAGTCGAACATTGCGCGAAAGTCAGGGTCTTCCTCCGCATGCACCGTGCATACCCATCCTTCTACTGCAGCACCATATGTGCTTTCCTTGGAGGTTTCCGAGCCTCCGTGGAGCTCGCCACAGAGCATAAAGGCGAATGACGCCCAGTTCCAGTTCCCGAATGTTGGTAGCTTCACCGACTTGTGGAAATCGTCATGACGCTTGGTATAGTGGCCTCGGTTGAAATACGAGGCCATGTGTTCCGTGGCCCCATTCTGGCGCAACTTGCGCATTCCGTCTCGGAGCTTTTCCCATCTGCTCCACTGACGCTCCTTCTGGGCCACCGATTGGGGTGGGCCTCTGGGAAGGACTTTTGGCAGACTATCCTCGTCGTTCTGGGACCGACTGTCCTCGGCTTCCTCACGATGACCTCGCTTGCGGGGGCTGCGTGGAGGGGTCGGTGGACGTCCCTGTGCTTTGGCCTCGCGTCGCTCAACCCTCCGTGGGGGAGCCTCATCTTGGGCATCCCTCTGCCGCTCTACCCTTCGTGGGGGAGCATCATCTCTAGTGTCTCGTTGCCAGTCAGCTCGTCGAGTGGAGGCTGTATCTCGGGCGGCACGGTCATCTCGAGCGGTGCCTCGTGGCGGTTGTCGTCTGCCCCCTTGCGGTTCTGCATCATCTTGCTGCTGAGGTCGAGTGGGGCGGCGGTCTTCTGTACGATCTCGCCAGCCTTCCCATTGCTGTGAGGAGTAATTTCTCCATCCATCTCCGCGCCATGTGTCGCGGTCCCAGCCTCTGTCGCGGCTGCGATCATCTTCCTGGTCGCGACTCTGTGTAGGCCGGCGATCATGATCATCTCGCCTGTCTGTACGCCGGTCTTGTTGTCGCTGTTCTTGCTGACGGTTTGAGGTCTGAGCTGGGGGCCGGCGTTGCGGCTGCTCCCCTTGTCCTTTTCCACGATCCGAATTTTTGCCCTTGCCTTTGCCCGGGCCAGTCTGGGTGTCCTTGCCACGGCCCTTGTTTTGCCTGGCTTGGATTTCGCCGGCTGTTCGGCGGCGTGTGCCGTCCGCCCGATAGCGGGATCTCGGGTAACGACGGGGCCTCTCTTCTTCTTCGGGCTCCTGATCATCATTGTCGTCGTCGTCTCGATCATCGCGCTGGTGGCGATGGCCACCTCTCCCTGCTGGCGGCATGGTGCTTGAGTCGGCAACACTTCTGCGGGCACTGACTACTAGCTACTAAGCAAAGAGAAACCTTGCTGACCTCGGCATCACGGGTAAAAGATCGACTGTGCTGGGTCCTGCATCCTGGGTCGGCTGGTTCATGTTGAGGTGGCCGACCTGAGGACAATGGTGCAACATCCACTCTACCAGTGTGCTGGAATTGCGCTTGGCTGCTGGCATTGTGGCTGGACTGATCGCAGTAAAGAAAAAGTTCTAGGTCGACCAGTACAAGCACTGCATGGGAACATGTGTGTTGACAAGTGGGGCCCTCAGCTGGGCACCCATAAGAAGTTGCTAACTGAGCAGCAGTGGGAGAGCCGCCTGGTTGGCTCAATCCTGATGGCACTCTGTGTGACTGCACTTGCTTAACTTCTGAGCTTTTCGCTGCGGTGACCTTAGTAGGGGCCGGTTGCGGTCTCCCTGGGGGGTGGTTACATACCACTTCCCCACTACCTGACAGATTGGTGCATCTTTTTTTCATTCAAGCGCATCAGCTGTGTCAGCTGTCTTGCGGGCGATTGTGACCTTGTCACCCCTCCTCCATTGAGGAGGGTTCGCCGGTGGAGTCTCAACTGCGCCCCGTAGAGCCCGGCAGTTGATGCCATGGCAGGGGACATAAACATGTTACCCCACGGAGTGTGGGATTAGTCTAGAAAGCAACTAGGGTATTGTACAGATGATATATACAGGCATCGGTGACAGTGAGAGGAATCCTCGAGCACCGTCTTTAAAAGATTGATGCAAGCTCACTCAG